AAAAACTGAGAAGTGTATACGCCTGAAACTTCTTGTATGAAGGGAACCTCTGTTCATGTTAAGAATATGTGAATAAAACAGCTCTGTAATCGTAAGGTTCGAGATTCTGCTATGGCTTTCCGGGCCCGAAAAGTTTCCGGGGCTTTCGAGAAACGGGCCCCTGGACGTTAAAACGTAATTGTGTGCTGAATTTGGTTCCATTGCCATTTATGCCTTCAGAAACATAACTAATCAATTATTTTTACCAGTGAAAGCCTTTGACCCAGACCTTAAACTACTTGAGTTGAAAATACATGGGAAACGCATGACGGAAAGTAAGAGAAAATCTACGGAGAAAAAGAGCGGGGAACGCAGCGAGAACTGGCGGGGACGAACGAGGAAGAAGGGGAAAGGGGCGAGACAACAGACCAGGAGACGCACGAGCAAACGTACGGCGAAAAAGTTGAAAATGTCTAAAGAAAGGGGAACTTGGTAACCGTATGGTAGAATCAACAGGAAAATTTTTATACGGAATTCGAGATTTTTCCTATCAAAAACACTTCGCACAAGTTTGGGGGGCCAGTGTGAATGGTCCCCTCAGTGTGGAGCTTCTGAAGGAGCCGCGAGGGTAAAGGAGAAATATCCCACAATTCCTATCGATCGTTTAACTTGAGAATTTTTGTGTGTGCGAAGTTCACATTAAGTTGGCAGCAAAAGTTTGTCTGTTTACGAGAATCACGTGATCGAAAGGAATTCTACCAATCCTACAGATTCGAAGATTGGGTGTTTAAGTTGGCTTGTGCGAGTGGATTTTCGACCTCCTTCATGTTGGCCGTTTCGCTTTTGTGTACCATTTATGGGTTGTAAGATACTTCATTTTTTTTTATTTTCCCAGCTTTCAGTTATCAAGGTAGGTTTCTCTAAAGGTCTTTTACAACTGAACATATTTCTCGTCAAAAAAAGGCGCAACACTGTGACAACGGTACAGAGTGACGAAATAGCGGCGCTAACGGACTCACGTGAGCAGACTACCTATTGTCTAAACACGCTAGCAGCGTTGCAGGCGTAAACGGGGAAGGGGTAGGGATCGGGAGGCAAAAAAAGCAAAACGCGAGAAAGAAAGAGAACAGCACCCTGTCCCGATAAAGACGCCCGTTTCCAATAAGCATCGCAGTTTAATTTCCTCAATCCGTAAAATTCAAACAAGCAAAAAGGACGCTACGCACGCACAAGTACGCAGTGCTGACCTATTTTTTTCCACGTGCTGGCGTCGAACGAAAGAGAAAGACCGTGAGACTATGTTTTTCAACTTCTTGGTTAGTAAATAAGCTTTTTTATCCCATTTTTCGAAGACTTTATTAGCATATGCAAGGCATATTGTAATTTGGTGACTCTTTCTCAATTCTAGGTCACAGAAAAAGAACGGAAATTAGGAATGTATCGGAAAGCCGAGGCCGAAGCCGCCATATTGTTTATAAGCTTACATTAAGCTTAAGGTGGGTTGTCTTCTAATTATTTGATGGGCAAAGATTCTAAGTTTGATCGAATAGTTAGCCGCGATCAGGTAATTTGAATTTTGCATATTTTGGCAGTGAAATGGCAGTAAATTTACAGTAAAACCCAGTTGTAACAAGTAGTTTTCATATTGTCTTCATGAATCTTGGATATGCATATACCTCACTATTTGGAAACTATCCGTCAAATTTAAGGTAATTCCTCTGAAATTAAAGTGACAATAGATTTTTGTTCAAACTTAGTCCACTGAATATTTGTCATATGATTAAAAAGGGGGGTGCCCATGCTCATTAAGGAGCAGTGAGGCATTGAAAATGCCCCATTTTGGCATTTAATTTAATGCTTATTATAAGAACGCATTCCCAGTAATTGTAAAATCTTTGTGAGCCCAGACTCATAAGAACACGCATTAAACTACAGTCAATACATTGTGTTGGACACAAATAAACATTCTAAGTTTGATTCAGACAGAAAGCTAAATCCTTGATTAAAAATTTGAATTAAATTTCTGAAATAAAATGCCCAAAGCAAGGTGGTTTCCCATTAAACTTCTAAGATCCCGACCTTTTTACATTGCAGGATTGCCAGATGTGCGACTCAGTGCAGGATACTTCTCTCCCATGAAAACAATGCAGGGGCAATTGTCTAGTAAGTTTAATTTTTCTGTACATAAAATAGATTTTTCATGCATGTACAGGGTTTGACTTTGACTTTGACTTTTAGTTGCCAAAAATTTTCTGCCCTTCAAGCTGAATATAAATTACATTTCCATGAAAAAGATGCTGAAACGACATGAATCACACCTTTTTAGAGTACAACCAGTTTGCCCATTTTTTTCCAAAATAACAGGGAAAATGGCTAAATGAAATTCTTGGCTTCTTTTATTTATATATAAAAAAAGGTTTTCATATTGCAAGCTTTGATTTATTATTTATCGTAAATTGGCACAAAAGAAGTATAAACAAATTGAACATCATGCACAGGCTTTTCCTGTTCATTGGTGAATATAACCAACTGCACGCATTTTTTAGTAGTAAATTTATTACCGGTAAATCTCTTTGGGTACCATGGGAACATCAAAGGCAGAGCAGATTTCCTTAAAATTTTATATGTCAGACTAACCCACTACAGATTTCTTTTGTCCACAAAGTATTTTTTCAATTAATAATAAAATCTTTTGTGTGAGTCGAAAAATCAGAGCATTTAAATCAGCCTTGACAGGCATTGATTCGTAAAAATACTTACAAATCAGAAGAAGAACTTAACAACTGTACATCAGTCCTAAAATTTCAGACACTTAAAAATTTGAATGGTTTTATTTTCGGACACTTTTTTTTTGTCCAGAACTAAAATCATCTGTAATTTTTTGCAAGGAATGTATTTTTAAACAGTATGTTTTTTACCATATAGGTTTAACTGCAAAGAGGAAACAAATACAATTAAAGTGACGATGCAAACAACAATCATGTGATCAGTATTTCAAAACTGCAAAATCAACAGACCTCATGTACTTACAAATAATTTACTCTGATTGCAGAGCAACAAAAATACAAATTAAATGGACTACTGTACAAGTTTGAAACATTTACCAGACAATGTCAGCCATCGTGAATGTTCAAGATTTTGATGTCAGAAAATGGCCTAAATTTTAGTGAAAATTAAGTGCTCTGTACTTAAACTATCCTGTACTACAAATTTGTTGAAGAAAACATGGAAAAAAGATACTTTTGTCAGTAGAATAAATAATATCCTGCCATAGTGATTCAGCAAGAATGAAGAAAAAATGCCGTACTTTTCACATGTAGCTCTACATAAATTTGTCATCTGTACCAGATTTGTATCTGCTTAATATAACTGGCTGAAATAACATTATTTGCCAACAGTGTGCACTGCAATGTAATCAGTCTAATCATCGAATTACAGCCTTGGCTGTGTCTGATTAAATCCTAATTTTCTTTGCTGTTAACACTGTGGAAATTGAATTTCAGGGGGCACAATATTAATTTTGCTTCCACCATAAATTCTTACTACTGGGGCTCTGTAGTCGTCAGGCATACATGCATTGACTAAGATAAGATAAGATAATTTATTTCATGTCAAATTACGCAGGGGGTGGTCTCTCAGTCCCCCGAGCCAGAGGCTTATGATAAAAGTGTTTGACAATATTGCTAAATAAATATCTTACTAGTTAAATTAAAAATGATGTATATCTATATAAATTAATTGAGTCAAAGGCAATTACTGCATTGACAGCCGGTAAAATTTAACTTAGTTTAAAGTCTACGAAAGGATGATGCATTAAGTACATTTTTTACAGCTGATAGCAACTGGTTCCAGATACGTGAGATTATGTTCGTATATGAGCCATGAATGAATCTACTATTATATGAAGTTTGTACTACGTTTAGACCACTGCCCCTAAGATTATATGGTGTAACTCAGGGTTTGAACAAATTGGCTAGATAGCCTGGACCATTCTCCTTAAAACATTTATTAAAATTATCAAAGATTGTTCTATATGTCTATGTTCTAATGTGTTCATGTCTGCCATCCTAAGAATTGATTCATAATCAGTACTTTTCCCCATGTTCATTATAGTTCGTAGATCATAATAGTCTACATCTTCCAGTTTCTTGTTACATGTAAGTGTTTTACCTATGCCCATAAGTAAAAAGTTGCAGTACTCAAAATGTGATAATACAAGCTCCTATAAAGAAGAAGCAGAGTATTTGCAGGTACTAATCGCTTAAGGCGGCGAAGTGCAGATTCTGTTAAAATGACTACAATTATTAATTGTGGTTTTATTGCCCAATTTACATTACATTGCCATTTAAGGGGAAATACCTCTTGGAAAACGCTGGAAATGGTATTTCCGAGCGTCTGGATTTCAAAATTTTCGGGGGGAGCATGCCCCCCAGAGCCCCCTAGAGGCTCGCACCTTCGGTGCTCATTTCCCCAGCCGCCTACTTCTTTTCCCCAGCCTGCTACTTCAAACCTTACTGAAAGCACTGCAAACCGGTCTCAAGAGAGGGCACTTTGAACTACAAGTATAGAAAATACGTATGCACCATTTATCAGGAGAGACAAAAGAACAGACATCAACTTGAAAAAAAATCCGAGTTCCAGATGGGATTTGAACCCATGACCCTCCGTGATCTAGCCGGAGGCTCTAACCACTGAGCTACTGGAGACTCTGTGGTGAGCAAGGGTGAAATGTGGGTCTTTGACTGGAACCGCATCACACGGTCGCACAGCCAAATAATGACTTGGCGCATACATTTTGTATGAATTCATAACTGCATTGTGCAGACAAAAGAAGACAGGTTAAAATCTAAAATGATCGCCTGTAAAGTTGTAAAGCTATTACATTATTTTTGACATATTGACAGGACAAATAATTATAGCATGAACTAGAATAGCAGGCATTCCTTCTCTCTCTCCTACTCCTCCAGTTCTCTTGCNACCCCATTTTATACTGCCCTGCTTTACATACTACATGAGATGTGCAGCAGGTCAGACTTTTTTGCGCAGACAAAGAAACTGGCAAAGGTAACAAAAAATTATAAGGTGGAGATTGCATTCAAAGTTAGAATTTCATGTTTAGTCTGACTTAAAAAGTAACTAGTTTGTAACATGACAGGTACTGATTGTTGAAAAGCTAATTATAAACAGAAACCCTTGAGTTCTTCAGTTTCACCTTTGGGAAAGTTCCTTGTTCTAGAATTCTGTTAGTTGTGTATATACACAAAACTTTACAGTGCTACGTGCCTAAATATCAATAGGCCCTTTGCAGCTAAGCCATCACGTGACCTACTTGTCATAAAAGTATGAGCTATAATATTATGGGCGAAAATATCAAAATGGCCAAGTTTGAGGCCCCCATCATCAGAGAATGAGATTTTATGACAGTCTGAATTTTTGAAGGAATAAGAAGATTTGTATGGAAAAACTAACTAACTAACTAAATGGCTTTTGCTTAAACATAAATTGCGCAACGGTAGAATGGCAGTCTCTAAATCTACATTTGACTGCAGTCATGCTAACTGATGTGAAGCACATTTTGTTTTAGAAAACAGTCTGAAGAAAATATGTGCACGGATTGGTTAAAAATTGTGTTTCTATTAAGCAATTAGATTATGAGCTCGAGATTTCTATTGTGTGATAGTTGAAGACGCAGCCCGAGTCAACTATTAAGCATAGAAATTGAGAGCGAATAATCTCCTTGTTTTAGTATAAATCTACTAGTCGTTCAAAACTTTACCTAAATCCTCTTCAAAGACACTTCGAAAATGCCAATAAGTGGCCGTAATTTTGTTAAGAAGCGTACACTGCTATGCTACTCACTATCTATCACCAAATAGACTGATAGTGAGTAGCGTAGCCAATCATAGAAGAGCTTTCGTAATAGAACGGTAGTAGATTTGTACTAAAACTTGGTAGAAACACAGAACTAGCATGAGCTGTTGGCGTAATGATGGCGCGAGCAAAGAGACTGTACATTTTGATAATCAAAGTTAACAAGTTGTTTTCTTTTTTTCATCACGGTGTTTTCTAAAAGAAATAGAAAACACGTTCTCTCTGTTTCTATCGAGTTATGGAAACACTCATGAAAGTTTGGGAGAACTTGAAAAAGCTGTGGAAACTGTGCATTTCTCGTTCTCCCAAACTTCCACTCGTGTTTCTATAACACGACAGAAACACGGTACATGTTTTCTATTTCTTAAATAGTGTACTCAAAAAGTGCAAATACTTAGGTCACGTGACTTTGAACGCTTAGTGGATGTTTTGTGACCACTTGAGATGTTGTTTACTAGTTTTTAGAGTCATAATTCGTCGTAGAGATTGCTGTTCATTTCAAGTTCAAATAAATGGTTTAACTCAGAACCACTAACATCAAGCTGGTTATTTAGAGACCTTTACCAGACTTAGATTGTATTGTCAGTTATAAATCTACTACTACTTTAGCATATCTATGTAAATAGTATGTTTTTTGGGGGCCATAAGATTAGCACTAATCGTATTAGCGCAGAACCATACTGGTAGCAGAGTGAGGTTCACATTGGGGGAATTCGCCGAATTGAAGAAAATGCCGTCAAATTCAAAGAAAAAAGAAGCGCAGCGAGTGAGCGAAGGACACAGGCGATGGCGAAGATACCCACGATGAAATTGCAGATAAAATAGAAGAGCAAAAGATCAAGAAAGTCAAAATCGCTATTCACAAGACAAAAATATCAACTGGCGGATTTATTAGAACATGGAGTGGCGAGTAACCGTGAAATAAGAGCATCAAGCTCGAGGAGCGATTATGCAAAAAAGGATTTGTCAAGCATGCTCAAAAGAAAATGGAGGAAGAATATGCCTGTTGTCAAAAAGAAATGAAAGTCGAAGTTAGAGAGGTGGAGGAGGAATTAGCCCATGCAAAAGGAGATTGCAAAGAGAAATATGTGAAGTTCAAAGGTGCCATGGACGAGGAGCTTGAGTTGTCGCCTCCAAGCCTGCCAAAAGGGATGTTAAGCCAGAAGAGGATGAAAAGACTGTTGAAGAATCACCGAAACATGAGCTCTGGAAAGACATGTGGAAACAATTGACGAGGGTTTCTATTCTGGTATTTAGTGGAGACAAGCAGTCATGTGGGAGCTGGAAGGCAGCATTTATGGCTTGTGTTGCAAAGCGCCAGCCACTGCAGAGTATAAATTGTTGCAGCTAAAGAAGTACCTATCTGGAGAAGTGTTGGTAGCAGTTGAGAGCTTAGGACATTCAGCCAAGGCCTATGAAGTGGCCAAGGGCAGATTGGAGAGAAAATTTGGTGGTCAATGTCGTCAGATCAATTTGCACTTAGAGGAATTGGACCAGTTCTGACCAATTCGTCCTGGAAAAGCCAAGGACCTAGACAGGTTGGCAGACTTACTGGACGTGATTGTGATAAATCTGAAAGCGGCTGGAAGAAAAGAGGAACTTGGCAATGGGTCCTTGTAGATGAAGGTACAAAAACAAATGACAAGTACCATGCTTGCTAATTACAACAGATGGTTGTTTGAGCAGAAAAAAAGTGGAATGTGTTGAGACACTTTGTGAGTGGATCATGCAGGAAGCTGAATTTCAGACTGTTGTGGCAGAGACACTGTGGGGTGACAGGAAGACGAAAAGATAGGTCACACACATTCTTTGGTCGGACAAGCAGTTCAGGAAAGCCTTTTAGCACAAATTGCCCACTTTGTAAGAAAGAAGATGAAGATGACTTATTCACAAAAAAAATGATGACATGTTCACAACTTCAACGAACCAACCAACAAACTCCAAACAGAACCAACACATTTACTTGACGAACATTATAGTTGGATCAAGACTACACAACATCTGACACCAACAGCTACCTACATGTGACAACTGACATAATTATCAGGACCTGAGCAAACCTAAAAACTACATCTGCATGACTCTAGCACTTCATTGTAAAATGAAGAGATTGTCATTGGCACTGCAGACTATTACTGACTACCGCCCTGTACCATGATCACCAAAACTTTACAAACTACAGAAACTGCACGAACTGCATACCAATGCAAGGATTAGCACTGAGTCAGATAATGTTATTATTATATGTAGATGTGTGTGCCACCATTGTTCAAACAAGTACCTTTTCTGAGCAAAACCCCCTAGCTGTATACTACTGCATGCAATTAACTAGGTCATTGATTGGACTCAGAGATCTCTGTTACTGTATACATGTAGTTTTCACTCCAGTATGCTTTATAAATTATTTTTATTTGAAATAAATTATTCAAGATGACCATCATCAGAGAATGAGATTTTATGACAGTCTGAATTTTTGAAGGAATAAGAAGATTTGTATGGAAAAAGTTGTTGGAGAGCAAGACCTTGCTCTCCAGCAACATTTTTCATACAAATCCTCTAAATTTTCCAAAAATTCAAACTGTGGTATAAACTTACTTGTTAATTCCTGGGACCTCAAACTTGGCCATTTTGGTATTTTCAATACGCTCTTTCCATTTCTGGCGTTCTTTAAGATATAGCCCATAATACAAATTTTTTTTAGGAAAAATTTGGTCTCGTGACCCCAGCTGCAAAGGGCCTATTTGTCACCTAGGGAAATTTTTTATTAGTTTGTGACATCTGCTTGACAACTTCTGATGGCTTCCATTTCAAATGGCTAATCAAACTGCGACAACTTGCCACTGGTTTCAGATGTTTGTAGCTTGAGACTTTTGAAAGTCCTACGAGAGTGAATGAGGTTAATTTGACAATTTAACATCTACACCCTCAACAGTTCCCATGTTTTTGATTGGCTGGTTAAAAAAACTGCAATAAAAAAAGTCAAAAGATGTCAAAATCTAATAAAAAAAATCACTGTGCAAGGTCACAATCAAGAATCTTTTCTGAATGTCTTATTACACGGTCAACAATGGATGGACAGTAGTCTGACATATCTGGACAGACAGTGGGCAAAGCTGGATGGACGGTGGACAAACCCAAAACATTCAAACCTTGACCAACCAGGTAGATACATATATGTACATATGTAAATGTCAACAGTTACTGTGGATCATGTGTCATGTCATAATCAAGAATCTTTTCTGAATGTCTTATTACATAGTCAACAATGGATGAACAGTGGAGAAGTCTGGACAGACAGTGGACAAAGCTGGAAGGACAGTGGGTAAGCCCAAAACATTCAAACCATAACCAAAGAGTTAAATACATGTACATGTACACTGAACTAAAAAGTACCCTTGATGAGTCAGTTTTTAAAGGAACCCCACTAGAAGGACTTGTGTGAGGTTAAGTTTTCAAAGCATTTCATCTGTTAACATTCACTGTTGTGAAGTTCAACTTAAGTCTTTCCTGTTTTTCAAATATAAGGGGGTGCTTGCTTACTTAACACACACTCACTCTCTATAATATGCCTGCATTGGAGACTAATAATTCAACTGGTGCCCATTTTATGAAGCTCGATTTGGCGTAGAAATTTTCGTAGAGCTCTACGACTCTACACTTTTGTCACCAATCTCCTCCTACGTGTTGGAAAGATACATTACCTCCTACTTCATAGCTTTTACTGTAGTTGTGTATTGTTACTATGGTTACCTGCCTATTTCGTAACATTTGATTTCAAACCATCTATCCTCTAAGCCTATCTACGCTCCACGTAATACCAGTTACTCTCTTTGATCTACGCTCTACGCTCTACGCCCATCTAAGCCCATCTACGCTCTATTCTCTACATTCTACGCTCTATGCTCTACGTTCTGCGATCTACCTCTAGGCCCATCTGCTTGGAAGGTTATTGGTCAGGAATCTTTTCATTTTTTTTTGGATTTTTTTTGGATTTTTTAACGGGCTAGTGAGCACCACAAAGGAAGACGTCTTGTAGTTGTAAGCTTTTTCGTTTATTTCCGACGTGCTTCGTCTCTATCTGAGACTTCCTCAGGGAATGATTTAAGCGTGCCTAAGTTTAGCTTCCCGTGGAAATGAATAACTGCTGAAACATGCTGTAAACGGACGTTACAAGAATCGCCTTAATGCACATGTTCTTGCATGTTGTAATATTTTGGGGGCCATACGATTAGCACTAACTGTATGGCCCCTGAAATAAAAAAAAGTTAAAACATTAAAAAAAGTTAAAAAATTAAAACATTAGAAAACGACACTTTTTTGTTTGGAAGGGTCCCAAAGAAATCCTATTAGAGTTTCTTAGTTGTCTCTAGCAAGAATGATCTTATCAAACTTACATACTATGTTATTGATGAAAGTAGTATTTCGTTTTTGATTTCTTTCCTTACAAAGATGCTAATTTTAGCACTCTGCGGTTTTCGATCTATCAAAAGCCACTAAATAAGTATCTGCACATTCCCTTTGAGTCATTTCATCCTGCAAGCAACAAGAGGGCCTATATCAGAGGCGAGCTTATGTGCTATACTAGAAATAGCTCCACGTTTAAGGCTTTAAGCGAAATGCGAGAAATTCTGGAAGCGCCTGTGGCTTCGCGGTTACCCAGTTGGGTTTTTACTTCCTTTATTCAGGGAGGTTAAATACAGTAACAGAACTAAATGGCTTTTGCTTAAACATAAATTGCGCAACGGTCGAATGGCAGTCTCTAAATCTACATTTGACTGCAGTCATGCTAACTGATGTGAAGCACATTTTGTTTTAGA